TTATATTAAGTATTATAAGTAATCTAGAGATGACATAAATTATACAGGAGGATGTGTATAGATTATATGCAAATACTGTGCCGTTTTATGAGGGACTTCAGCATCTGTGGATTTTGGTATCCATGGCGGGACCTGGAACCAATTTCCCCAGGACAGAGAAAAGGAACCTGTGGCCTCAAAGTCACATGTGATCCTCCAGATCTCCAGAACAAATGCCTGTATTAAGAGGATTTGTAAAAGGATTTATAATATTTGAATGCAATTAAAGGCTGCTCTCAAGGATCTAGAACAGTGGTTCTCAAGCTTCCTCAACCGCGACCCTTTAATACAGTTCTTCATGTTGTGGTGACCCCCAACCATAAAATTATTTTCATTGCTACTTTATAACTGTAATTTTGCTACTGTTATGAATCGTAATGTAAATATCTGATATGGAGGATGTATTTTCATTGTTACAAAAGGGTCGCGACCCACAGGTTGAGAACTGCTGATCTAGAAGGACTAGATCCTAGAACAAGGACTATATCAAGGACTGTACTATTTTAATTTTGGAGATTTGGATAGTTTGGTATCAGCATTAAAGATGCTTTGCAACTTGCTATATTTGTCTTATTGAGTCACTTCCAAAGAAATCAAAGTAGAACTGAAGTGACAATGTGGATCCCACTAGTAGGTCTAATATACATTAATAATGTATCTAATATATATAATGCTTTGATGACTTCCCCATAAGACATTTTAGAAAATTCTATATTTGGAAAAGATAAATATTTGGATTCTTAAAATAATGACATGAAGATGGATTATAGATTATTACAGAAGATAGGATAGAGGCAATTTCAAATATTTTTATAAAAATTTTTGTTGAAATTAGTTCATTTTAGAGTGTTTTGTATTTGAAAGGAAATTTGGTGTGGATATAGCTAGAAGTAGTCAGTTTTGTCTGCATATTTTGAATGAGATGAAAAGAAAGGAACACTGAAAATTGCTGGACAGTGATTAATTAAATTAAATAATTTAATTCTTTCATAGATGGCTTATTACAAGCTAGGCATTCTTTCATATTTGGGGGTACTGCATTGAGAAAAACAAGATGAAAACAACATCACCTTCTTGGTGCTTACTGTTTGGTGAGATGAGATGAGGCCACGAATAAGTAAAATGTATTTTATGTCCAGTTATTGGTACTATGGAGGCAGGAAAACAGGAAAGAGGCAGATAGTAGGGGGAGGGAGACAGGTTGCAGGAAAGAGAATTTTTGCAAGTTTAAGTACCTGCATAGGAAGTAAAAACCTCCATTAGAAGATAACATATGCTATAATGACATATGACATAAGTCATAAAGGTTGTGAGGAAGTGAGCTGTGAAGATTTGGGGGAAAGAGCTTTCTGAATAGAAGAAGTTATGAATACAGCTTGTTAACAACTGTAAGGGAGTTAGGAATAAGTGAGAGGGAAAGTAGTAGGGAATGAGATCAGAGGGGTAATGGGTTGTAGAGATCAGATCTTGAGCACTATCGGCTCACATAAATATTTTGGTTTGTATGTGTGTGTGTATGTGTGTGTGTATGAACCTGCTGTGCAATTCAAAATACTTGTCTTTTAATCTGAATGAGAATGAGAAATGATATAAGTTTTGCATTGATCATTCTGAACATTGAAAAGTAGGGTATTGAGGGGTCATGTGTAGAAATGAGAGAGTGCAGTTGTGAGCTTATTGAGAGGGTGTCTTGGGTCAAGGTGATAGTGTTGGCCTTGAGAATTCGTTGGACTGTAGATATTTTATGAAGGTAGAGCCATCAGGATTTGCTGAATGTGCATTATGAGTGAAAGAGGAGTCAAGAATGACTCCAGATTTTTGGCTAGGGCAGCTGGAAGAATGGAATTGCCATTTACCAAGAGGGGAGAGTTCTGTGGGAGGAGAAGGTTTTGAAAGGAAGATTAGGACTTCGATTTCTAACATGTTGAGTTTGAGGTTTTTGTTTTTTTTTTTTTAAACTGTATAAGTGGCAATGTCATATTGATGGTGTTTAAAGACATGAGAACAGAATGAGCTCATCAAGGGAATGAGTAGATAGAGAAAAGGTCCAAGAAGTGGACCCAGGGGCGCTTCAGGGTTTATAGGTGAAGAAGAGTGTGAGGAGACTGAGAAAGAATGGTTAGAAAAGTAGAAGAAAATTGTGAGCAGGTGGTATCTTTAAAGCCAATCCAAAAAATAAAAAAAAGGTGGGTATATTTTGGGGTTTTTTTTTTTTT